TTTTTTTTTGTGACAGTAACCGTTAGCAGATGGTATGCATGTTAAGCAAACTTTATTGTTTCTTTTTTTATGACTTTTTTTTTAAGTTTAAATATACGACAGCCAGTTCTTTTTTTTTCCATTTTACAGTCATAATAATTTTTATTAACTTTAACCTTAGACTCAATAATTTTTTTGTTCAAGAGAAGTAAGTGTTCTGAAGAAAACTTGTAACTATCTGTAACCTGATGACGATGATCATGATATTGATAAAGCTGGTGAAAAGAAAACAAAAAAAATGGAGAAGAACTTAATAAGTAATAATTAAAATATACAAGTTGTTGAATAAAAGTATACCTGCAATTAAAGTATAAGAGAATAGAAATAAGAAAAATGAAATTGATAGTTATTAGGTTGGGGAGGAAGAAAAAATTTGGTTTTTTTTTTTTTATTTCTAAAATATTTGGGCCCCCTGAGTAATTGTGTAGTTACTTTGCCAAAAACGGACGAGGTGTCGGTGGCAAAAGTGGGCGGAGCCGAGTGGAAGCAGCCAATGATCAGCAGAGACGATCTGAGCTGTTTTGGGGCTGTGTGTGTATGTGTGTGTGTATGTGTGTTTGTGTGTGTGTGTTGTATGCAGCAGCATCTCATACATCGTTTCATGTGCAATGTTGTCGTCGGCGTTTACGGCGCCTGAAGATGCCAATTATACCCAGGTGATCAAGCCAACCTGTGAAGCTTTTCAAGAGATTGGCGAACGTTGGATACCTGGACCTCAACAGGTACAGTATCCACCTCAAGCTACACCATTTCAACTGCTATTTCCGCCACAACCTGCTGATTGGTCTTATCATCATCATGCGCATATTCAGCAGCAACTACAACAAACAGCCGTTATGGCGCCACAACCTCCTCAGGTTGACATTAAAGCTGAAACTGAACGTCCAGATGTTATTCAGCGCCTATCTGCAGCCCCATCATCTTGGCCATATCCATTTGCTCAAGATGATATTGCATTATCATCTAGTCAATTACCGGATGATTCTGATCCAACATGTTCTGAAGATTTAGAAGCATTTGCTAAAACATTTAAACAAAGGCGAATAAAGCTTGGCTATACTCAAGCTGATGTTGGTTTGGCATTGGGTACACTGTATGGTAATGTATTCAGCCAAACAACGATTTGTCGTTTTGAGGCCTTACAGTTAAGTTTTAAAAATATGTGCAAACTGAAGCCGTTGCTATACAAATGGCTGGAAGAGGCTGATTCGACAACGACATCGCCGAACAGTGCCTTCGACAAGTTGACCGGACAGGGTGGACGTAAACGGAAAAAGCGTACATCAATTGAGGTACAAGTGAAGAGTCGTCTGGAGTATCATTTTCAGAAGAATCCAAAACCGAATGCTCAGGAGATCGCTCAGGTGGCAATCGAGTTGCAGTTGGAAAAAGAGGTTGTTCGGGTATGGTTCTGTAATCGAAGGCAGAAGGAAAAGCGTATGACACCACAGTACGGCGACGATCTGTTGGTCAACGCCAATGTCTATCCACCAGATTCGTTTGTTTACAATTAAAAAAATGAAATTAAATAAATAAATTTCTTTATTAATTTCAATAT